CTTGGCCTTCTCATAATTGCCTTATTTTTTCTAGTGTACTTGGAAAGCTTAGCTCCTTAATCTCTTCTCGCTATTCGAACGATGACTGGGATAGGGACCGACATGGACATGGAAAGGATAACATGGAAAGTTACCGAAGGAAAGGATTACAGTAAATAGGTCAGGCATTCCTTTATTTTATGGGACTGGGATGATTTAGGCAGATATAAGAAGTGATTTGCCCAAGATAGCAGAGGGAGTGAAAGACAGATTAAGAACTTAATACAGTTGATTTAAAAAAGCCAAAGTAGGACGCTTCCTCACCCCCCATGCAAACTGGAGAATCAACTCACGTGCATGGGAATAATCCAGGTGTAGCGACCTAAAAATTATGCATCACTCTCTGCAGTGTTGCAAGTGTAATAGAATTAGGATATGGCGACGATTCTCAAACTCTACCTATATCAGAACCACCTACAGGACTTGTTAAAACCCAGGATGCTGGGCCCCAATCCCAGAGTTTCTGGTTTAGTAGGTGAGGTCTGATAATTTGCATTTCTAACACCCTCCCGGGTGATGCTGGCCAATGGACCATGAATATGCTGGAATGTCTATTTTTCTAGAACTTGGCGAAACTGTGGTAAGAGCATCTTTTGACTTGTGACTTTTTTCTCCCAAATATTAGTTCTTTGTTAACGAATAATCCACTTAGCATACTGCTAGGGGTGCCTGGGTGGCTCAGTCGGTTGGGCATCCGGCTCTTGATTTTGGCTCCGGTCATGATTTCAAACCCCATATCAGGCTCTCGCTGGCAACGTGGAACCTGCTTGGGATTCTCTCTCTTCCTCTCTCTGTGACCCTCCTCCGCGCTCTCTCTCTCTCTCTCTTAAAATAAATAAATAAACATTAAAAAAGAATACTGGTGGAGAAAGGCTTTAGGCAGACATTCTCAGTTATCAGCCTGTCGCCTAGGGCACTTGTTCTAGATGCAGGTTCCTGCTACTTTCTCCCTCCCCACCCCCTCGGAATGCAACAAGCGAGGCTCCTTGATGCCTCGGTTTCGTCCTGATCATTATTTTAGCACTAGGGGCTGGGTGTTCTATAAGCAACTGCCGAGCGAGTGAAGGAATGAATTAATCAATCAACGGAATCATACCTTCTGGTAATAATGTCAACCGGGCATTTCTTTTATTGTTTTAAAGTTTTACTGCAGGCTTTGCCGCCAGATACAAAAAGGCATACAGCTGTCACAAGGAGGGCACTGCACACAAAGTCTCAGCTGTAAACACCACTTCAAAATATAAACTCGCTCTTTGGAATACACTGTGTCAAAGGCTTCCCATATGAATACCGTTGTTATAAAACGGCGACATTTCCTTTGACAAGCAGACAAAACGCACCCGTTATCTTACACACATTTCCATCTCCTTGTAGCAATTCCCATCTCTACCTGCGCTACTCTCATCCACCCATACAGGCACAGGCCACTTCTATTCCTTCACAAGGGCGGAGGAGACTGGGCTTGGGCCGTGTGACTTGCATGGCCATCAGCAAACATGGTGCGGAGACTTGATAGGTGATGTACAAAAGTGAGCCCTTCCTCCTTGGAACCCAGCTGCCATGCTTTAAGAAAGCCAGTCTAACCGGCTAGCAGATGAGAAACTACGCACTCTCGCTGACCAACGCCAACTTCCGGAAATGTGAATGAAACCGTCTTGGATGTTTCTATTTCGGCCCCAGTAGAGCTCCCATCTGTTTGCAGCCGCTGAATGAGCGACCCAGGTGAATGAATGACCTTGGTCAATATCGCCAGGAGGAGGGAAACCACCCAGCCGAGCGCAGATAGTACACAGAATCGTGGCACATAATAAATGGTTATTGTTTGGAGACGCTTGGTTTTGGAGTCGTTTGTCGTGCAGCAACAGGGGGATGACACAACGAGTACGTGTTGGTGTGATCTCCATTCCTCACAGAATTTAGTGTTTGGTCATATTTGGTTACAGCCCAGACACTGGGTCTTTTGGAAAGATCACCACATGACTATCCAAAAATGTTCTCGTTTGCCAAACATGTTTGGAAAACCTGCCACGGATGCAAGTCGACAGGTGTTTCAGTTTGTCCCGCTGTTCCTGAGAACATTCTGAAGCAGGGATTATACCCACAATGCCCTGAGGACCCATAAAAATGAAGCCAAAGTACCCCCGATTATGTTCACAATTATGTTTAATTATGTTCATGATTATAAATTATGTGTCACACTCATCATCACGGGGCACTGCCTTCTCAAGGGCTGCATTTACAGTCGTATCATTAAAGAAAAAGAAAATTTATTTAGTGCCTTCCCTGAGAAACCACACAGAAGGCATAAGGCATGTTGAATGAAGGGAATTCACTGATCTCCATGGATTATAATCGTACATTTGCTGATTCCTTTTTAGAAAGCACACTTTTGAAAAGAAAAGGTAACTTTACAGTTTGCCTGCTTAGGCTTCATATTGAAACTTGATTAGGGAAAATTTGGGAAGACATTATATTATGTATCATTCAGTAAACGTCATGTGAGTAAAAGGGAACAATGATCTGAATTCACGTACATTCATTGTGTTTTTTAAATTTTATTTACTTTGAGAGAGAGAGAGAGAGAGTGAGCAGGGGAGGCCCAGAGAGAGAGGGAGAGAGAGAGAGAATCCCAAGCAGGCTCTGTGCTGCCAGCACAGAGCCCTACACGGGGCTCAAACTCATGAACCATGAGATCGTGACCGGAGCTGAAATCAAGACTTGGACGTTTAACTGACTGAGCCACCCAGGTGCCGCCATTCATTGCCTTTTTAAAGGGGAAACTCTCCTTCCTTTGCAAACATTTCATTAATGCCACACATCTTTGGGGGCACTTCTTATTTGGGAAGGAACATAGGAATGTAATTTCTTTTTTTTTTTTTAATTTTTTTTTTCAACGTTTATTTATTTTTGGGACAGAGAGAGACAGAGCATGAACGGGGGAGGGGCAGAGAGAGAGGGAGACACAGAATCGGAAACAGGCTCCAGGCTCTGAGCCATCAGCCCAGAGCCCGACGCGGGGCTCGAACTCACGGACCTCGAGATCGTGACCTGGCTGAAGTCGGACGCTTAACCGACTGCGCCACCCAGGCGCCCCAGGAATGTAATTTCTTAAAGGACTCAGAAGAACTTTTCAGATCACCTAGCTCATCTCCATTTATTAGAGCTGAAGAAAGTAAAGGCAAGAATCTGGGTTACTTGTCCAACGTCACTTACATGTATGAAATGTATGAAATTGGTCAGCAAGTGGTGAGGTGCACATGTGTGTCTTATGAATGTATTGCTATTGATGAAGAAAAGAACTGAGAATATAAGCCAACCGACAATGAATAAACGGTGCTCTTTTCCCAAAGATTCTGTAAATATATACACATTACATATATAAGTAATTAAGCAAGCCATCACTGGGGGAAAAAAAGCTGTGGTCTTCTTAATTTTATTTTTTAAAGTAAGCTCTACAGCCAACACAGGTGCCCATGTGGTCTTTTTCCAGAGTTTTCTACGGTACTTTTTGTAGTCCATCCTCCCAAGGCCCCATTTCTCACCACTGTACATAAAATCTAGATCTTGTTTTAGTTTCGATTCCCCGCCCCCAATTTTTAAATTGTAGTTAGTTAACATATAGCGTAATATTGGTTCCAGGAGTAGAATTTAGTGATTCATCGCTTACGTATAACACCCAGGGCTCATCATAACAAGTGCCCTCCTTAGTACCCATCACCCATTTAGCCCATTCCCCCCACCTACCTCCCTCCGTCAACCCTCAGTTTGTTCTCTATCGTTAAGAGAGGGTTTGCTTCCATCTTTCTTTTTTCCCCCCTTCCCATACGTTCATCTGTTTTGTTTCTTAAATTCCACATCTGAGCGAAATCATACAGTAGTTGTCTTTCTCGCACTGACTTATTTCGCTTAGCGTAATACACTTTGGCTTCATTCACCGTCATTGCAAATGGCAAGATTTCATTTTTCTTGATGGCTGAGTAATATTCCATTGTGTATACACGACATCTTCTTTATCCATTCATTAGTTGACAGACATTTGGGCTCTATCCTAGGTAAACTATGGATAGAGCCCACGGCTGTAACAGTGGGGGACATCTATCCCTTCGAATCTGTATTTTTATATGGTT